GAATGGGGCGGGGCCGCGGGCAGGGGCCAGGGGCGGGGCTGGGTTGGAATGGGGCGGGGCCGCGGGCAGGGGCCAAGAGCTGGGCTGGGCACCTACCACAAAGGTGTCGTAGGAGAACTTGTGCCGGTGTAGCAGGTGCTGCAGGAAGTTGGCGCTCTTGTAACTGGGGTCTCCCCAGGGCATGGCCGAGCAGATGGGGCACACCTGGAACAGAGGGCCCTACTGAGGCAGCGCTCGGGCGGGAGCAGCCCCCTCCCTGGGTCCGGGCGGGGGCGGGGTTCCACCCACCACGCGGTTGGGGTCGCTGCGATGGTTGTCCACACAGTGCTTCAGCAGCTCCTGCTGGTCCAGGTTTCGGGCGCCACAGTAGGGGCAAGTGAAGGTGGACCTGTTGGGGACGGCGCTGGGGCGGTGGGGGGAGGTGAGTGGGGGCCACTCCCACTGCCCTCCTGGGCCCTGCCCACCCCTGGGCACCTCACCCGGCACCCCCTTCCCCAGACTCTGGGTCCCCTCCCTTCGCTCAATGTGGCTATGGCCCTGGGAGGGCATCTGTCCAACCCTGGCCTTTCTGGGGACGGCATTCCCCTGCTGGGAGGTGATTTGTGAGCCTGCGTGGCCCCTCCACAGAGGGGACACAACAGCCTCTTCTACCTCCTCAAGGGACGGCAACATGGGCCGGGAGCTGCCCCCACAAGGGACAGGGGCTCTGAGCACTTGGAGCAGGGTGCTTACCTGGGGATGGGCTGGGATGTGGGCACCACGGGGACGAATTTGGGGCAGTTGGCCATTTGCTCCTGGACCTTCATGCAGGAGGAAACGTGCACCCTCATCTTGGCCAGCGTCACCTAGGAAGAGGGAGGCAGAGAAGAGGGTCGGGGTCAGGCTCCAGAGGCTGGGAGGACAGTGAGCAAGCAGGCCAGTCCCTGCCCCCGATGCTCGTGGCCCAGCAGTGCTGTGTAAGCAGCGAGCGGCTTCATTTAGGGGCCTGGTGTCTCTGCTGGAGGAGAGACACAGAGTCAGGACACCCTCCCAGCCGGCGCTCACGGCTTCAAGCCATCCGGCCACCAGCCACCAGTCAGGAACACACCTCAGCTGGGATCCCTTGGGGGCTGCAGAGGGGCAGGGGCAGTCCTTGAGGAAACCAGAAGAGCATTTATTTGGGGAAAACAGCCCTCATAACGGAAACTGATGGACAGCGTTCTCTCATAGACAAACGTGACAGAACTCCTTACCAGACTGCACCGAACCCAGCCACAGCACAATCTCCTCAGCCAGGCCCAGGTCACACACTCTGGCCAATGGGGGACACCCGGCTCAGGGCAGGGAAAAGGGGCCTCGGTGTGGATCGAGCGAATGACCGCAGAAAAGGAATAAGTACGGCACCGGTAAAAGCCGCCAATCGTGACCCGTCGTCAATGCCCAAAGGCCGAGATGAAAGGTTTCACAAATGGAAAGCTCGCTCACAGGACCGAGGGAGCAGCGAGGAGGGTGTGAGCACCCACCCCTGGGCCAGCATCCCACCCAGCTGTCCAGGGTAACAGAAGGGCCTCCAACGGCAGCCTGGCTCCCAGCTCTGCTCGGGCCACCACCGTGGCCTGCGTGCGTGGACACATTTGAGAACACGGGGGCGAAGGGCAGGGCCACTGCACCCTGGAAACGATGGGAGGGCCCTGCCTGCTCTCTCTCGGAGAGGGGGAGAAGGCCTACCTGCCAGGGAAGAGGCCAAGGAGCCTCACTGCAGAACCCAGGGTGGCCCCTGCGCGCCCAGACCCTGACCTTTAGAACAAAGCAACCAGGGGCTGCTTTTTGTTGTGGTAAGTTGGTACAACCTGCCGAGCTGAGAGATTAAAGTCAAAATCCGTTCCTGGGGTTGGGCCGCTAGAAAGGCAGGCCAGGGTGGGTGACAAAGGCCACCGAGTGCCCCCCAGGGCTGGGGCATTCAGTACTAGAGATGCTCCCTTCCATTAGGCCTGGGGCCCCGCCCCCCGGCCTGCACTTCCCCAAATCAGCCACACGACCACGGAAGACCCGGGGCCAGGCAGCAGGGGGTGGGGAGAGAGGTGGGGGGGATGTGGCCAGCCCAGCCGGAAGTGAGTGGTGCTGTGGGGGAGGGGCGGAGCAGTCCAGCCCAGTTCCTCTCTGTGGGAGAGTGGGACCAGAGCCTGCAATCGCCCCGGGAAGGCCCTGGGGGGTTGGGAGGGGGGTACCTTCTTGTTGCAGCCCCTGCAGGGTGCCTTGTAGGATGAGAGCTGCTTCTCCACGTGGGCAGCCTTGTCCACCTTCTTGGGGTCGAACGGCAGGCGGCACAGTGGGCACAGCGGGGACGGGACCTGCAGGCACGGCTGGAGGCACTCCCCGCAGAACCTGCAGCGGCAGGGGACACCGGCCTGAGCGCGCAGGGCAGCTCCCCTCTGCCGTCAGCGGCGCGTTTCTGGCGACGGTCACTTCTGTTCCTAAATCCTACTGACCCGACGGCTGCCCTCTGGCTAAAAAATGAGCCCAGGTCCCCTCCCAGCTGTGGGCTTCTGGGGCCCGCCGCCATACCCAGGATGCCGGTGCAGCAGTGGCCGGGCTCCCCGGGACCCGTGCTGGCCCTGCGGCACCGCGCCCAGCAAAAGCCCCAGCCGCGGTGGGAGAGCTCAGCCTGCCCATCTCACGGCCATGTGGTGACAGCACCTCAGCTGCTCTGGGGACGCGGGGGCAGCGCAGAGGGCCCTGGAGACACTACACCCACAAAATTCTCAAGAGTGAGATCATGAAAAGTTCTGGGAGAGGAAACCGCAGGGCTCCAAGGGCCAAGACTCATTGGACGAGGCAGGGCCAAAGCTGTCCAGGTTGAGTGTCACCAGCCGTGGGACGGTGCCTGAGCGTGGCAACAGAGGGGCCTTGCTTAGGCTCTTGACTGCTGAGCAGGGATCCTCACGGCCCTGGGCACGCACTCAGGCACCCGAGGCTCTTTGCAGCCCTGAGCTCCTGGCACTGTCCTGGAGATGCCACATCACGAGGACAGCCAGGGGACACAGATGTGCTTGGGCCACGGCAGCAAGCCCTCGCGCCCCCCCACCCCCTCAGTGCTGCCTGTCACTCAGGCAGGAGGAAAGCCAGGCAGTGGGAACGCCGGGCTGGAAGACAGCCAGGGGGGCAGCAAGAAGGAACTCGATCGCAGAACCACGTCGGTCCAGCTTCTTAGGAAGCGCCGTGGGGACCGCTTAGCTGTGATGCCGACCTAGAATGTGCGGATGCTGACACAGAGCCGCCACAGCCCCAGGGGAGTGAGCGCTCAGCCCCGAGACGGGGCCAGGCCCACACCCACGAGAAACACTGCAGGGCATCAGGGTGAGGCCAGCTGTCCTCTCACCTGTGTGCACCCTGCAGGCGGGGTGGGAGGGACACGGGAGGAGAGGGCTCCCCTGGGTACAGACCACTCCGCTGAGCTAAGCGGTCGGCGCTCTCCCACCTCCTTCCCAGGAAAAGGCAGCTGAGGACTCCTGCTGCCCAGGGCTGGGCCGTCCTCCCACACGCTGGCATCTGGGGCGCCCCCCACCCCAGCTCATCAGCATCTGCACTCACACTGTATGTGAGAAGGCCCGGCTCGGCCTGAGGCTAAGAAAATTCCCAGCAGCCTTTTCCCCACAGCACCCGCCCGTCCCTTACCTCACCCGGTGCGCACTCCCCAGGCACCCCTGGCAGGCGTGTAACGAGGCGCCCACCCGCCCAGAGCTGGCGCTCTCACCGCCTCAAGGGTCTGCTCGGCCTAATGGCCGAGGGAGGCCGCCCTCTCCACCCAGTCACTGGAGGAGAGCCCAGCTGCCATCCCAGTGGGGGCCACGGCAGCATCGCCACGAGAGCCACGAGGTGGAAACAAGCCATATTGTCCGTGGGTGATGGACACACAGACCACAGACGTGTGAAGGTGAAGGAACCCAGGACGAGTGGAGGACTGGAGGACGCCGCCCCGGGGTGAGCCTCGGAATCACCACACTCGGGACGTGTGGTGTATGATTCCGTTTGCGTGAAAAGTCCAGAACAGACCCACCCGTCACCCGTAGGCAGAATGTAGACTGGTGGTTTCTGGGGCGGGGGCGCCAGGGTCTGCTTGCTAACAGGGGTGAGGCTTCTTCCTGGGGAGACAGCAGGGATCGAGGGCTGACGGGAGAGGACTGCTCAACACCGCACACTCCAGGCAGCCCTGAACTGTGCACATGAGACTGAATGTCAACAAAGCTGTGAAAACACGCATAGAAGGCAAGGCCACGGGAGCACTCGGGACGAGCCAGGACCATGTCGTCAGCGGAAGGCAGGGTCCAGGGCAGGCCTGAGGGCCACGACTCCGACGAGAGATGCACAGGCTGTGTGAAGGGCACCTCTGTGCCAGCGGGAGGAGGCAGGGGGGGCTCGGGTGTCTTGGGAAGGCACGTGGACCCCGCCTGAACCCGGCCGCTCTCTGTGATCGGCCCGCGGCCAGGTGTCCACACTGACTGTGGTGTGCTGAGTGGTGACAGGCAGTGCCCGCCTCTTCCAAGGAGGTTCTGCCCGCACGTGCCCAAGGGGCCGGTGCCAAGGGGCTTGTCCGCGGACAGAGCCAGCCGAGGGGTCTGCTCTCCCACACCAGACCCGCGGGCCCAACTGGAGAAGCCACACGGCCGGCACATGGACTCGAGCGGCACCTGCGATGTGTCACTCCCGCCCCAGCCTCCCGCACGCGCTGGTGTGCCAGGATAGGCCAGTGTCTCAGGGGCCCAAGAAGGCAAGCAGGCCGGGCCCTCAGGCACCCGGAGCTGTCCTGAGGCAGAGCCCAGCTTCCACAGCCTTTTCGGATGGTGTCGATGGCTCACGTCGTGGTCCCCACGTGCAGACCCAGGTAAGCACAGGCTCGCTGACAGCCAGGCAGGGACTCTGGGACTCTGCCCAGAGAAGCCTGCTCGCTGGTCTGGGTGCCGATGGGCAGGGGGCTGTAAGGCTCAGCAGTCCCCAGGGTCTCTAAGGTCACTGCTGTAAGAGCACTGGTTGGGGGAGGGGGCGTGGCTAAGAGGCCAGCCCGGGCCTGACCGCCTGGGCACAAACTCTGGCTTTGCCGTGACACTTGGGAACGCGGTCTCTTGTACCAAAGAAAGAATGGCAGCACCTACCTCAAGAGGCCACGGCACACAGAGTACTCAAGTCTATCATTCCCTGTGTCCACCCTTAAGAGTCAGTGTTTTGCTTTTTCTAAGACCTGTGGGCATGGGCTGCTGGTGAGGACACTGAGGTGGAAGGACCGATGGACAGCGCTGGTAAGATAATGAAAGGCGGCCAGAGGCCAGAGGGAGCCCGGGGCTGAGCTACCCAAACAGATACAGGCTGTTAGGGGACGGTATCAGAGGGTAATAAACAGCAACGAGGCTTCTGGTTCCAGATGTGACTTACTGCCCAGGATGTCCCGGGGGCATGAGAAATAACCAGCTCCCTCTGGGGCTCCTGGGGAGTTCTTGGGAGCTCTGCCACAGGCCTCACTGAGGGCCTCATGACCATGAGCCCCCCACCGTGCCCTCTCCTCTTCTGTCCGGTGCTGCCCACACATCTGATGGCCGCTCTCACCATCAGAACCTGTTTTGCGGAGGCAGACTGTTTACAGTTAGGTAGCTGTGCGGAAGAGATAACCAGACCAGCAGATCTTTTTTAAGGTGAAGCGTGAGCCTTTGAACCTGGGTTTATTTGCACATGTGCCTCCACGACACCAGCGAAGCAGCTGAAGAAAAGTCAGAGACAGAACAGCCAAGAAAACAAGGCAGCAGGGAGAGCTAGGGAGGAAGTCTTTTACGAAGAAACTGTAGAAGAAGAGGCTCTGGCGGGACCACCTTAGACATAGGAGAGAGAGCTCAGATTCTGCCAAGAAGAACACGGGTCGGGGAGGGGGTTACAGGAGATGATGCTTCCACAGCAATCCTGTATAGGGCTGAATTCTAAAGACCACATTTTAAGAAAAGACTTACTTAGACAAAAAGAGAGAGAACACAGATTTGTGCCCACCAGGAGACTGGAATGCTGTGGCCCAGGGCTGGGTAAGTGCTGGTGCCAGGGGGATGAAATCCAAAGACCAGGAGAGGCTTTCTAAAGCTGGTCCCAGGAGAAGCCTTACCGTTCTCTCAATCGTGGACTAAAAAAATGCAGAACACATCTTAAAACACCCACCAGTGCTTACAAGAAAGGAGTCCTGTCCAGAGGCTGCCTCCGACAAAATGTCACAAGTGGCATGAGAAAGTGAGGCCCGGTGCCCTTCTCCCCAAGTTGGCCGTGCTCTCCTGATGCGGGCAGGAAACCGCTGCCTGGGGGGGGGGGGGCGGGGATCGTGAAGGCTTTCTGGATCCTGACACTGTCCCCGGGTGATGAGCAGGCACACACGTGCCCCGCAGTTCCAGATCCATCTTCGTTTCAGCAGCCTCCCAAGTTGGCTACCGTTGGTTACAAAATGCTCCAGGGGAACCTCCGAGCCCGGTGCACCTCCGCCCAGCCCCCCAGGGAGAAAGCCCCGCCTCCTCCGTAGCCCCGAGTGCTGCCAACCAAGCCCTCCCGACCCGCTCCCCGCCCTGCTAATTTCACTCAAGAGCTGTTCTATTCAGCCAGGAGAGAGTCGCAGAGTAGACCCTGATCTCGGCTCCCTTCCAACAAGGCTGGCAGCTCCGAGAAGACTTGAGCGCAGCTCTCAGCTGGGAGGAGAGCCACATCCCTCAGGTTTCCGTTGCTGAAACACCTGAGCCCACTGTAGGCCCTGGTGCAGTCGGAAACCCTGGTCGCCCAGGACGGCCCGGCTGCTCAATGACGGTTAAGACTCAAGTTTTCCATCAAAACAAAAGAAAACATCGCAGGGGAGTCCAAACAAGCCCCTCTCCTAACTTTAGGGGAGTCCTGTCCTCTGCAGTCAAGACAAGCAGACAGCGGGTCCGAAAAGGAGTTGGTAACAGAAACCACAAGACATTTATTTACAACAACCCCGGTCTCCGGTGACTGTGGGATCGAAGGCGATCGGCGGCGAGGTCGCCCCGTCCTCCGAGACCAGATAGTCCCGGCGCGAGCCGTCAGCAGACCCCAGGGGCCCCGGGACCGGGCAGGGCTGCAGGTCGCTCCAGTGCGCCGACCGGTGGCTTCTGGGTCGCCCGACTGGCGCAGGAGGCTGGGCCGGGGCGAACCCGGACGGCGCTGCGCAGGGAGCCCCGCGCCCCCGCCCGAGCCCCCCTCCGGTGCGGGGCCTGGCTCCCGGGCTGCGCCCGGCGGCCGCGGGCCTCGGGCCCCTTCCGGGGCGGGCGCGGATCCCCTCCCCGCAGCGGTGGCGTCCCGGCCCCGCGGCCTCCCGGAGGCCGGCGCACTCACGTGTGGCCGCAGCTGCCGATGGCCACAGGCCGGTGGTACACCTCCAGGCAGATCGGGCAGCTGTACTGCGCCTCCAGGCCGCTGTCACCGCCCGCCGGCCCGCCCGGCGGCTGCCGCTGCTGAGCCGAAGCCACCAGGCTGCGGAACATCGCCATCCCGGGGCCAGGCCTGCCGCCGCCGCTGCCCCTGTTCCGGCCCGGCCCGGCCAGCTCGGAGCGTCACGGCCGCGACGGCGCCGCGCTGACGTCATCAGGGCAGCGCCCCGCCCCGGGCCCGCTCGTCAAGGCCGCGGCGCCGCGGTGCTGGCGCCGTCAGCGCGCGCTCCGCCCCCAGCCGGCCGAGCGCAGTCCGGACGGCGTCCCGGTGACGTCATCAGGACGCGTCTCCTCGTCGCCGCCGCTTACTACGGTGGGACTCAGCGCCGCCATGTGCCAGGTTGGCGAGGACTACGGGGACCCGGCGCCCGAGGGACCGCCGCCGCCGCGGCCTGGGTGAGAGCCGGGCGTCCGCATCGGCCCCTCTCTTTCCCGGCGCCGTCTGCCCGGGGAGCTGCGCTCCGGGAAGCCAGGAGACGGCCGGGGGCCCGGAAGCCCTGGCGTCCCAAGCGGGGGCTGCACCTCGTTCCGCGGCACCCGGGGAGTGCCCGTGTAGCCGGCCGTGAACACCCCAGGAGGGGGCTCCCTCTGCCCGCTGGCACTTGTAATTCTGGCCGCCAGTGCGGACGGCTCCAGCGCTGACCGAACTTTCCGTAGTCGAAGAGGAGGTCGGCCTCCCTGTCGCTTCCACGCACTGGTTCCACTTCTCCCCTCCAGATCCACACGGGGCAAGCGGTGGTGTGTCATGCCTGCCTTGGCGAGATTGACAGGTGGCCTTTATGTGCTTTCCTGAGCTGGCTTTAGCAGACTAAGATACCACCCACGGCCGTCGTCTTTTTTCATACTGGTAGTTAGGGTAAGGCACAAGCCTTGGCTGGTGTGTGTACAGCTGCCCTCAAGAACTCCTCATACGCCAGGTTGGGGTGAGAAAACGGGCCGCCGCCTCCCCAGAGTCTGCCCGGAGGGAGGTCTGCAACCTGTGTTCTTGCCTCCTTCTTCCCCCCAAGCCTTCGAAGCCGTGAGCTGAAGTGTGTGAAGTGCAAGGAAGGCGTACCCGTTGTGGTGATCCGAGCCGGAGACGCCTTCTGCAGGTGAGGCGTGGAGGTGGGTGGGAGGCAGACACGGGGTGACTCGGCAGCCAGGATTGCCCCCATCTCTGTGTCTTGACCTCTTGCTTTAAAGAGCATGTAATCACCTTACTTGTACTTCTAACATCGCTCCCGGTGACTCTGGTGAGTGGGGGTGGGGGTATTGGTTTGCTGCATGGGCACCCCATAATTCTCCCATTATCCAGCTCTGGATTCAGTGGCAGGAAGGTATCTGATGGCTCTTAAGGGGACAGTTGGCAGTGAGGATGAGGTGAGTTACAGGCAGGATGAGCATCTCGGGGCAGATTAGAGCATCCTGGGATCTTGGCCAGCTGCTCTGAGGGCCACTTACTTTACTTGTGTGGGATGGAGGGAGGTTTGCAGCTTTCTTCAAGCTCTGAGGTGGGGGGGGGGGGACTTTGGAGGGAGCAGAGGAGGCTGATTCCCAGAGGACCTTGTTATGAACATGCTCTGTTTTCTCTGAGGCCGTCTTGTGGCCCCTGACTTGTCGGCAGTGAATCAGAGCTCCTCCAACACCTGTTCGCTTCCCCTGGGTTCACAGCGCCATGAGGACAGGACCAGGCTCCTGGTTTATCTGTGTTAATTGCTGCGGACGTTTCGTGCTTTGGGTGGGAGATGAACCTTTGTTGAATGAGTGACCAGCTCATGTTTTTAAAATTAGTCTCCAAGAGTCTTAGACTCTACTTTCCAGAATGTTCCAAAAGGGAAACTGAAGGGACTGAGCTTTTTGTTTCTTTTTTTCCCTAAAACTTTCTCCTCCCCAGCCATCTTTTGGGAACCCAGTGGACTTGGTGTGTGCCACTAGAATATACATTTTAAGCAAAGAAGGCAAGCTTTAATCACTTAGAACATCAAAAAGTGACGATTGTTCCAGGGCACCTGGGTGGCTGTCGGTTAAGCATTCAACTTCAGCTCAGGTCATGATCTCACGGTTTGTGAGTTTGAGCCTCACATCGGGCTCTGTGCTGTCAGCACAGAGCCTGCTTCAGATCCTCCGTCCCCCCTCTCTCTCTGCCCCTCCCCTGCTTGTTCTGTCCCTCTCTCTCAGATAAATTCTTAAAAGAAAAAATATTAAGAAGTGATGATTGTTCTAAACAGAGAAGAGGCCACAGCAGCTCCTTCTGGGCTGAGAGCTCCCCCTGCCTGTGGGCAGCGACAGGGTTCTCTTTGTGCCCCGTGAAGTGGGGAGTGAGTCAAGCATCTGTTGGTTTCAGGAGTCTGCCACGCCTGACTTTCTTGGGAGTCACTGCCCATGGCTGGTCACCTAGGGTCCCAACATTTTATTAAACACTGAGTTGAGTTACAAAGGACCCGGGGTCACCCCTCCTTGTGGTGTCTGTTCAGCGGTGGGGGTGGGGATTGCTGTAGACACTGATGTGTCTTAATGGGAAAAAGAAAGTAGATTTAGGGGTGCAGCCCCAGGTGTGGGGCAGTTGTAACGGAGCCACCTTGCTCCCTCTTTTCAGGGTGCTGTCTTTGACCCTGACTCCCTGCTGGGCTTGCCAGGGAGCTTTCAAATGCAGGTGCCTGGGCCTCACTCTGGCACATTCTGCTGTATTTGGCCTGAGTGATTCTAACCTGTGGCCAAAGCTGAGCACTTCTGACCTAGTGAACATGAGAACCAGCTGGGAGGTTTATCATCAACACAGATTCCCAAGGCCTGTGGTTCTGAGTGCTTTGATTCTGTAGGTTTGAAGAAGCAGCCAGGACTGTGCGTTTGGCACGAGCTTCCCGGCATTTCTGGTCCAGATGGGATCAGCTCATTGGGCCAGTGTGGAGCTTTGGGACGCCCCCACCCCACAGCCTGTTCAGGGCTCCCCCTTCACCCAGAGGGATAGTACTTCTCCCCATGGGGGTCCCGGAAGGGACCTTCAACTCTGCTTAGGGGAGGGTCGGGCTGGCCTTGCCCTGCACTTTCCTGTGTCCGTCTGTTCTGCCAGCCGGGCCCTCCTGAGCGTTTGGGGGTGCGGGTGGCACCGGGGCTGCGAGCCCCCCAGGCATCACTTCACATGAGTAAGGGTAGCTGGGGACCAAGGGAGGCCTCCCTTGCAGTGTGGGGCTGATCGCGGGGCAGACCCAGCTGGCGAGAACCCCGTAAGCTTGGCTTCCCTTGGCAGTTGCTGGGCAGAACCTTGGTCAAGATGCTTCCGGTCAAAGCCGGAAGTTGGTAAAAGAAGGGGAACGCCAGGCAGAGTCTCGGGCCGCCTCCCCGTCTGGGCGAGGAGGTGGGCCGCCCGGGCAGCGCCCCCGCAGCTGCTGCTTGCTTGTGTTGCAGGGACTGCTTCAGGGCGTTTTACGTCCACAAGTTCAGAGCCGTGCTGGGGAAGAATCGGCTCATCTTTCCAGGAGAGAAGGTAGCGTGTGGGGTGACCCCTCTGTGGGGTCCCCAGTTGGAAAGCCCAGCCCCCCCGGGCCCTGGCTCTCAATCCCTGTGTCCCTTCCCACTGTCGTGCACGGGTGGTGGGGGGGACGGTGGACATGCTCCTGTTGGAGATGCGGTGCCCTCCAGCGACGTTCCTTTTCCCTTAGGTGCTCCTGGCATGGTCTGGGGGGCCTTCATCCAGCTCCATGGTCTGGCAGGTCCTTGAGGTACATCCCTCCAGCATCTTCCAGGGGCCTTGCTGCTGCCCAGCCGAGCTCCAGGGTCGGGGGCCCTGCCCTGAGGGGCTCTTGCCTGGAGCTTGTGGGAGCAGCCCGCCAGCAACCGGGACAACCGGAGGGTTCCTCGATGTGTGTACAAGAGGTGCACATGCTGGGGCCGCATCTGGAGTGACCCAGCTCTGCCTCAGTTTAGTACTTTGCTGACCGTGTAGAGTCATTATCACCAGAACGGTGTCGCGGCACGGTGGAGCATCGCTTGGGGTGTTGTCAGGTCATGGGCTTCCCCCCGGTCCTGGGTGGAGGATGAGACTGTGACATAGGAGCAGGTGCCTTGGGGAACCCAAAAGGGGTCCGGCCTGGCTGGGGATGGGCAGCCTCCTTGAGAAGTTTAAGGAGAGACCCGAGTGAGCAGCGGGGCCCCCAGGTGGCTGTCAAGTGGGGGTCAGAGAAGGTGTCGGGTGCAGAGTTGGCTCCAGGTCGTATGCCCGCGAGAATGCTGGGCTGCCTGGGTTCTTGCCTCTGGGCTGGGACACACAGACCCTGGGCATTCCCCTTGAGAGGCGTAGATTAGAGGGGCTGTGGCCATGGGGGCGGTCTGTCCTGGGGCCCCCGGTGTGGTGCATCTGGTTGGTGCTCCACTCTCGCGTCACGGCCCACTGAACCTGGCCTTTTGTCTGGCACCTCGTGGCCCCCTTCCCTCTGACTGGTAGTGCCTGGATTTTCTGCTGTTCCGTCGCACTCTCGGTGGCCAGAGGTGCTTGGGTAGGCTGCTTCTCGGGACGTAGCCAGGAGGGAGGGACTGACTCGTGAGGAGCAGGTCGTGCGGGGGCAGTGAGATACACATGCGTGGCCTCCCTGTGGGGCCTGACAGCACCTCCTCTGAATGGCCTGTCCACCCCAGGTGGGGGTCAGCACCACTTCCCAGGGGGCCTCAGTCAAGGTAGAGAATGGTCTGTGCCGGGAAACTGTCCTGTGTTTTCTAACTGGGGGGCTGAGCTCCTATCCCTTTTCTCTCCAGGGCCTGAGTCGAGATTCTGCCAAACGACTGCGTTTCGTGCCGGGGGTCATCTACGTGGATGGTGCGTGTGGCCACCCTCACCCCTACCCTGCTGCTCACGATGAGCCCCACTCAGCGGGTGCTGTGACCTTAGCAAGGCCCTGCTGGGGGCAGTTTTTGGAGACAGCACGCGTGTCCGGCAAGAAAGGCACAGTTGTTGTCTTACCACAGTCAGCTTTATCAGAGTCAGGCCGGGGGGGGCCCCGAGAGGGATGGGCGAGTTCGCTTCCCCAGGGCCCAGTCACTAACCTGCCCCCCGCCTTGCTCCCTTGAGATAGGCTCCCAGGTGGATCTCTGGCACTGTGGTCAGTCAGGCCTCCCCTCCCCACACCTCCCTGTGCCATGACCGTGAACCCACTGCCCGCTCTGAAATGCTCCCCCAGGAGAACAGGTTAGCTGTTGTTCCTGCAGAAAAGCCGCGTAGGATGTCTCACACGGCATTGGCCCTGTCCCGTCTCCGGCTCTTCTATAGCCGTGACTCCTTCCCGCCTGCCTTTTTTCAGAGGGAGCGGCTTGTGGGCAGAGCCCGGAGGACAGAGCAAAAACTGTGGCTGAAATGAAGCTGATCCTGCAGACCCTCGGCTTCCCGTGGCACATTGTCGCCTTGGAGGAGGTGGGCGGGCCTGTGTCTGATAAGGCCCCTGGAGGGTGGGCTCCTGGGGTGTACGCGAGGGGCCTGTTAGGTCGCGGCACGCAGAGGTGGTCTGGGCCTTACGCTGTCCCCCTGCCCCGGAAGGTGTTCGGTCTGTCACCGTCGGTGCTGCGCTGCTCTACCCAGGAGCCATTGGGGGCCGTGGGGACCTACAAGGTGGCTGTGGATAGTTTCCTCCAGCAGCAGCACACGCTAGGGACCGAGAGGGCAGGGGGCGGCCCCAGCCCCACCCAGGGAGAGGAGCGGCTGAGCCCACCTGGCACCCAGGAGTCCCAGGACCCAGCGGGGCCACCACCAGCCGCCCAGACCGAGGCTCTGTCCCGACTGTTTGGCTCCGTGAAGACGCTGACGGCCAAAGAAGAGTTTCTGCACACCCTGCGGTAAGCCCCCCGCCCTCCCGGGGTCTTGGCCTGGCTTCACCTGGACCCTGAGACCCTGTGCTCTCCAGGATGCACCTGATCCTGCACGTGGCCCGGACCCATGGCTACTCCAAGGTGATGACAGGAGACAGCTGTACCCGCTTGGCTATCAAGCTCATGACCAGCCTGGCTCTGGGTAGAGGGGCCTTTCTCGCCTGGGACACGGTACGCAGGTGGAGGCCTTTCAGGGACCCTGTTGACCCCTGTCACTTGGAAGTAGTGTCGAGAGTCAGCCCCAGGGTCTCCCTCGCGGAGCAGGGAAGGAGGGACTGCGAGCCCGTCTGGTGGGGGTGGTGAGGGACGTGCCCCCGCTCCCCGCAGGGCTTCTCAGATGAGCGTCATGGTGACGTGGTGGTGGTGCGGCCCATGCGCGACCACACGCTGAAGGAGGTCGCTTTCTACAACCGCCTGTTTGCTGTGCCCTCCGTCTTCACCCCCACCATCGATACCAAGGTGAGCTGCAGGACCTGGGCGGGCCCCCGCCTTTCGGCATGGGGTCAGAGGTCGCCGGCACCCCTTGGTGACCTGAGCCGTGTCCACACTGGCTCTCAGACCTCAGTGTTAACAGCGGCGTGCCCGGCATTCTCGGAGCAGACGCAGGGCACTCCCCCGCAGTGCAGAGGTGGGCTGCTGTCCTCCAGGAAGAGGGGGTGTGCCGGGGGGCGGTGGGTGGCTGGCCCCCAGGTGCCTGCGTCTCTGGGAAGGGCTCTCAGGTGTAGGACGGGCAGGATGGATCTTGGAGAAATCTGATGGCACGATCTGTGAGAGCCACTGCGTTCAGCAACCGGGAGGCTTCAGAAGCGGGTGCTCCGGCCGACTCCAGCCCTGACGTGGTGCTCGTGGGGGCTGCCAGCGTGAAGCTGTGGCCCCTCGGCCCGGCCTGGGGCGCCACTCCTGCGGCCCTCATCTGATTCCCCTTAGGCCCCCGAAAAGGCCAGCGTCCACCGCCTGATGGAGGGCTTCCTGCTCCGGCTGCAAGCCCAGTTCCTGCCCACTGGCCAGCACTACAGGCGCAGGCCGCTGGCGTGCACGAACACCTGTGGTCGGGCTGGGCGGGAGCGGAGCCCCAGCCTGACGGTGCCTTGCGCCCTGTCTGCCACACCCTCAGGACGAGTGAGAAGCTGGTCAAGGTCACCGCTGTTGCACAGCCATGCCACCGCTGCTCTCCGCTCTGTATGTGCACGCTGGACGTCGACGCTGCTGGTGTGTGGAGGGGGGCCCTGGCAAGTGGGAGGCGGGGTCCGGTCCCCAGAGGATCCTCAGCTTTTCTCTGCCTGCAGATAGTGCCACGGCTTTTGGGGCCCAGACCTCCGGTTTCTCCCAGACGCAGCCCCCCACCCCGCGGGCTGGGGCTGGAGCACCCACAGGAAGGCTTCGTAGACCAGCTGCCAGGGAGCTGGGCTCCAGGGAGGTAAAGGCCCACCCTCACCGCTCTCGGCAGGGAGGGGGGTGGGGGTGGATCTTCCAGGGCCCAGGCAGGGTGGACGTCAGGCTCCTCGCTCCCGCAGGGAGGACTCCCGAGCCCACGTCATCGAGCAGCTGTGCTATGGCTGCCGTGCGAACATGAAGGATGTGGTGAGTGGTTCCCGCCCACGGGTGGTGACAGGAGAGGTCCACCCCCGGGGCTCTGTGCCTCACGGCCCCTCACCCACGGCGGTGCTCTTTGTCGCAGCCCTCCTTGGACCTCCTGCCACCCTACATCTTGGCCGAGGCCCAGCTCCGCAGCCAAAGGTACCAGCTAGCCACACAGCTGGGGGAGCCCCCTTTGTGTGTGTGTGTGTTGGGGGGGGAGCGGGGAGGGTCCTTCTGGGCCTCTGCACCTGGCGGCAGGTTCCCAGCGTGTGGCTTCCCCCAGGGCCTCGCAGGAGATCCAGGAGTATCTGGTGGAGAACGGTGCTGAGGAGATGCAAACCGCCGAGAGCTGAGCCTGGGGCCACCAAGAGCCGGGGGCGCGGATCGCATAAATAAAAATACTTTTAATTAGAAAACCCTACAGTACTCGTGGGGAGGGGAAGGCTGGACGCCCCAGCCCCAGCCCAGCGTGCCGGCCACGTGGGGCCCTCGGGGACAAGGAGGTGCCCTGAGCTGGGCGGGGGAGGGGCCACAGCTTCCTTCCTTCGTTCCGGCAGCAGCATCAGCATCGGGGCCCGGTGGTCTGCCGGGTGGCTCCTTCCTGCCTGGGCGCGGGGCCCTGGCTCCTACTCCTTCTCGCGGGTCCACTTGATCATGGTCTCGGGCGAGCGGTACAGGAAGATGAGCTTGGCGTAGAGCTCCTCCTCCAGCTCCAGCTCGCGCGTCTCCCGCACCAGGAAGATGTCCTGGCAGAGCTTGAGGATGCGGTCCACGCAGGGCAGCTCCTCAAACATGATGGAGTGGGAGATCTCGCTGAAGAAGCCACGCACGAACTTGCCGATGACCAGCACGATGGACACGTAGAGCCCCATGATCCTGCCAGGCGGGGGCGGGGTGAGTCCCGGGCCGCGGAGGCTGCAGCCGCCGCCCGTCCGCCTTCGCGCGCAGCACACTCACCCGTAGCCGGCCAGGAAGCCGAGGCTGGGCGGGCTGACCTTGTCGCTGAAGATGACCATGGGGAGCAGGTTGCATTCGGCCTGGCAGTCCTGCAGCTCGATGACCCACCACTCCAGGAAGCCGGCGGCCCCCGAGCCCACGCGCTCCCTCCGCAGCTGGATGCGCACTCCGAGGTAGTCGGCCTCCTCGTCTGGGGCAGAGCCAGGGTCCGTCAGGGCCCACACCCTTGCCCGGGGTGGCGCCAACCCCCCCACTCGCATGCATTCGCTGTCACACACTCACTGGGCTGCAGCTGCTTCACGGGGTTGGCCTCGGGCCCGTTGGGAGCACGGATGTACTTGGGGAAGAGATTGGGGATGACCCTGCAGGGAGAAGGGGGGGGGGGGAGTCAGGCCCAGCGCCCCCCGGTGCCCCCTCCCCCACTCACACCGACTGGTCTCAGGTGCCCTCTGGCAGGCCCCGCCCCCCAGTGCTCTCCCCCACTCACACCGACTGGTCCGAGGTGCCCTCCAGCAGGCTGGCCAGCTGCCTCCGCTCGCTGCTATTGGCAGCCAGGTCCAGGGTGTGCTTCTCGTTGGTGTATTCCACGGTGCCGCCCTTGGCCAGGTCCCTATGGGCCAGGACACAGCGTGACCCACGGCGGGCCACACCCCACCCGGGTCCTGCCCCAGCCCGGGCCGCACCTCTGGAAATTCCAGGTGAAGCGCAGGGTGATGTCGGCGGTGCCGTTGTACAGCTCCCGCTTCATCTGGGCCCGGCTGGGCGGGCTGATGCGCCACAGCGCCCCGGAGCTGCCCTCGATCTGCGCCGTGACGATGTCCTCGGGGCTGTACTGGCTGATGAACTGCATGGCCAGCTGGGCCCGGGGCGGCACTTGAGTGAGCGGCGGCCCCCTCCACCCCGCCCCCGCAGGTGCAGCCCGGGGCCCACTCACAGGGTTCGGGTCGAAGTGTCTGGACAGCTCCTCATAGGCCTGTTGCGTGAAGGGCACGATGGACGGCTGCTGCGCGCTCATGGTGAACAAGGGCTGCGGTGGGGGGACGGCGTGACGCTGCAGGGAGCCCCTCGGCCCCTGGCTGCCAGCGCCGCGTGGAACTCTAAAGACGAGTGACGTGGGACTGGCCCACCATCCTGCTCCCCGGCTGGGACAGACCGGTGGCTCACCTCGTAGCCACCCAGCTTGAGGGTGACGGTGACGTCGATCGGCTGGTTGACGACGCCGACCACGGAGCGCACCAGGGACATAAAGAGCAGAGGGAACCAGATGATGGCCACGAGGAACAGGATGATGAGCCCGCCCATGCCGTACTTGACCACCTTCTTCTTCTTCTGCCCCTTGGGCTGCGGGTATTTCTGGGGGGGCGGGGTGTGGGTCAGGGCCTCAGCTCTGCCCGCCCCCCGCCCCATCCCGGACCCCCACCCCCTGCTGCTCCGGGGGCCGTCCTCACGCAGCCACAGCCTGGAACAGCACTTAGTGTGGCCTCTGCGTGCACAGACACTGGCCAAGTACAGCCGAGAACCCAGAAACAGACCCTCGCGCCGAGCGAGGAAAGGATAGGCTCATCGACGGTTGTGCCGGGACAAACGGACACCGACACGCCAGAGAGATGGGACGGTCAGTAAAACTCCCAGGGGCAAAGTTTCATTCCTCAGGATCTGGTGAGAGATTCTCGGACCGAGCACGAGCACCAGTAGAAAACTGGACGTCAGAGAAAGACTCCTGTGTTTCAGGGGAGGGGGAGAGACCATGGAGAGAGAGCCCGCAGAACGGGAGGCTTCGGGGCAAATCCTGCCTGAGAGGGGCTATAGCGTCCAGAACAGAAGTTCTTGTAAGTCAACGATAAGACGACAGACAACCCAGGGACGCAAGGGGCAAAGCAGATGACTGACAGGCACGGGAGAAGAGTGTCACCGTCACGAGCCATCAGGGCCACCAGAACCAAGACTGCACTGAGGCAGTCACCTCTCAGTCACAAGTGCTGGCGAGGACGTGGGGAGACCGGCAGCCCCCACGCCGCAGTGGGGGGGAGCGGGGCGGCCGAGGGGCTGAGGCATCCACAGCAACACTCGCTGCGATCAACAAAACAGAAGCCCAGCCTCCTTCACAGTTTGGAATGGTGGCGTAAGAAAGGTGGCTCAGTCACGTGATAAAAAGCTGCTCGGCCATGAAAACCCCAAGTCCTGACACAGGCCACGCGGACGGCGCTTTGAACCCCCTAGAACGAAAGAAGCCGGACCCGGGCTATGGGGCACGTGACTGCATGTGCACGAACCTTCTGGAACCGGCAAATCCCTGCAGCGAGGGGTTCTTGCTGGAGCGCTGGGCTGGGTTTAGACCCGAGGGGACAGTGGCACAGCTCTGTGACCGTGCTATGCGTCGCTGAATTGTACAGGTGGATGGGGCAGGTTCTGCGCCCACCGTCCCCCAGTAAAGCTGCTAACGGGACCTCGGCTGATACTTGGTGCCCACCCCATCTCCCAGCCCTCGCGCCCAAGACCAGAGGCCAGGCCTCTTCTGGGTATTTGCTCAGACCTCCATCAGCTGCCTGTTCCCAACAGGGTCAAGTTCACCGTTCCCTCTAAGAGGCACCTTCTGGCCTCATGTGGTCGTGGGTTGGCAGCCCCCAGGTGAGGGGTGGGGGGGACCACCAGCACCACCTGGTTGTCGTGTGGCCCATCTGCCCCAGTGGGGAGTGACCAGTGTCCCTCACTACCCGCCTTAGGCCCGGGCACCTTCTCGGTCTCTCGGCTGCACTTGATGATGAAAATGTTGGCGTAGATGTCCTCCACACACATCCAGCTGGAGAGGGACAGTGTGGTGTCCGTCCACACCCAGTCCATCACGGCCCGCAGCTCCACCAGGAACGGCACGAGCCGGAAACTGCCGGGGGCGGGCACCATCAGGACAGCCCGCGGGAGATCGCCCCACTCCCGGCGCCCAGCGCCCCGCGCCCGCCCACACTCACCCCTGGAAGAGGAAGAGGTTGAGGTGGTTGTACTTCTTGGTGAGGAAGTTGCCCAGGATGCGGGTCGGGTAGCCGCAGCGGATCTGGTAGGCAGACAGGGCGAAGTAGACGCACTTGACGAAGTACCACAGCTGGGCCACTGCGTTCTGGCTGAACATCCTGCAGGGGCGGGAAGGCCAGGTCAGGGCGCCCTGCCTGAAGCCGGAGCCCCAAGGTCCCCGGGCCCAGCGCTGGCCCGGCCAGACACCCACCTCTCGGTGACCGCGGGCAGAATGAGGAACATCCAGAGGTGGATGGCCAGCACCAGGACCACCTGGAAGGCCAGCTTGCCCAGCACAGTCTTGCGGAGGTAGAGGGCGCGGTCGATGACCATGGTGCTGAACTGGATGAGCAGCATGACCAGGAAGGCCTCGGGCACCTGGTCGTCTGACAGTGAGGACGTGATGTCTGTGGCTGCTGAGTGTTTCTGTGCCGGGAGAGCAGAGGTCAGGGGGTGGCGGGGGGAAGGGGGTGGCGG